TAAATAAATAAATACAATTAAATAAATTAATTAAATTAAATTAAATTAATAAATAAATAAATAAATAAATAAATAAATAAAATGTAATTAATTTTATAAATATGTTCCTCGCAGTACGTATTTGGTGGTCTCCAGAAACGTCCACTAGACCGTTTTCAGAATGAGCCTGCACTCTCAGAAATAAAGGTACGTGAGCTGTCACTGGGGTGGTACCTTTTCGAAAGATACAAATTTGTACCTAAAAGGTTTCATATTAATACCTCAACGGTCGATATTAGTACCTAAAAAATACAAAAGTGTTCCTCCTTAAAATGTTTAGGTACTAATATGGACCCTTGATGTATTAATATGGACCTTTTAGGCGCAGATTTGTAGCTTTCGAAAAGGTACCACCCCAGAGAAAGCTCACGTATGTTTATTTCTGAGAGTGCGGGTTGTGTCAGGTAGTGTATACTGACACACTGGCATAAGTCTTATCGTCAATCTCAGTTGTAAGAACTACAAATAATAACTGGCCTTCTAGTTGATCATTTGGAAAAGTGTCAGAAGGTGGATTGCTCTGCTGAAGGATCATCTGTTGAGCTGCATCCCAAACATCAGCAATACTGCAGAAGACCTACTGGAACCAGCATGCCTGTATTGAGCCACGATTCTCATAGAAATCAGTCAAGTTTGGTGAAGGAACAATCATGGTTTGGGGTTTCATTCAGTATGGGGGGGTGCGAGAGATCTGCAGAGTGGATGATCAACATCAACAGCCTGAGGTATCAAGACATCTGTGCTGCCCATTACATTACAAACCACAGGAGAGGGACAATTCTCCAGCAGGATAGCGCTCCTGCTCATACTTCAGCCTCCACATCAAAGCTCCTAAATGCAAAGAAGGTCAAGCTGCTCCAGGATTGGCCAGCCCAGTCACCAGACATGAACATTATTGAGCATGTCTGGGGTAAGATGGAGGAAGAGGCGTTGAAGATGAATCAAAAGATGATCTCTGGGAGTCCTGCTGAATGCTTTCCTCACCATTCCAGATGACTTTATTAATCAGTGATTTGGGTCATGTCAGAGATGTATGGATGCAGTCCTCCAAGCTCATGATGGAGTCAGACACAACATTCATTCTGTCTCCACTGCAGCAGGACTTTATATTCTATACTGGACATTATTTCTGCTCAGTGATGAGACTTTAGTCTAAGCAAAGTCAGACCGCACTGTCCTAATCAAATCAGTCAACATCAAGACATGATCAGATTTAATTGTGTTCAAATAAACATCATCTAGAGGCCTTCGCCTTTCATATGAGCCACTTCTGACACCAAATAATCAATTAGAAGTCCAGTAATTATTTGCTGTTCCTAAAACTTGAATAGACGACAAGACTTTATATTATATTGTGTATATTATTGTAGTATTTCTCAGAGCTCTTCCGAATAGCCCAGAGTGTTCTTCGCCATCTCTGGTTTTGTCTTTAATGGAAGGAATCCTGATTCTGCATCTCCCTCAAAATCTCCAAACATCCCAGTGTTTCTGTAAGGCTTTCCGTGACTCTCTGTCATTAATCGTAGTTCTCCGGGGGCCGAACATTGATTCGGTGCCAGCGCGAGCACATCGTACAGCAGCAGAGACTGAAGGAGGCAATGAAAGAGGGTTTGGGGTTGCAGAAACAGAGAGGCTTTTCTTGCTTTGTGAACGCTGACTCTGGGAGGCTCCGGGAAAACCTTTTTTAGAGGCGCACGAGTGTAAGACAAACAAATACGAGCTGCTTATCAGTTCAGGACCACCGTGAAGACCACCCCAAGTCAACATCATCCTCCATTGCACAGCTAATGCTAATGAAGTGTTGATCTTCCAGCCTCGCTTGAGTTAATGCGCGCTGACACACTCCGGCTGGAAAACATTTAAGGGCATGTTCACACCCAGGGCGATTGCTGTAATGATAATGTACCACAAGTCCATACTATAAGAGTTATTGCATAGTGAAACAGTATTCAGCACTTTAATGCATCTGAGGAATTAAAAAGTGCTAAATCATCTAGAATCTATTGTTTTTGGGACATAATGAAGAATAATAATCATTTTAAAATCAATCAGAGTCTATCGTATTTCTCTCAGGCAAATTCATGCTAGAATTTCCAGGAAATAATGCGGTTTTAGCTCAGTGATTCAAATGATCTAATCATAAAGCGAGTCTTTTTGTTAACAATGGTCTCCTGCTTTGTTTTTGTCTCCTGTTAAAGGTTTACTGATTTAAATGACCCACAGATTTATTGAATCAGATGATCCTATCAGAGCGATTCTTCAGTTAATGGTCTACTGATTCAAATGGTTCAGTCAGAGCTAGTGTCCATTTAAAGATTTACTGATTCAAATGATCTGTTTAGAATGATTCTCCTGTTAAAGATGTACTGATTCAAATGATTAAGTCAGAGTGATTCTCCAGTTAAAGGTCTACTGATTCAAATGATCCAGTCAGAGTGATTCTCCAGTTAAAGGTCTACTGATTAAAATGATTCAGTCAGAGTGATTCTCCAGTTAAAGGTCTACTGATTCAAATGATTCAGTCAGAGTGATTCTCCAGTTAAAGGTATACTGATTCAAATGATTTAGTCAGAGTGATTGTCCAGTTAAAGGTCTACTGATTCAAATGATTCAGTCAGAGTGATTCTCCAGTTAAAGGTCTACTGATTCAAATGATTCAGTCTGAGTGATTCTCCAGTTAAAGGTCTACTGATTCAAATGATTCAGTCAGAGTGATTCTCCAGTTAAAGATTTACTGATTCAAGTCATCTTGTCAGAATGAATTTCTGTCAAAGATGTACTGATTCAAATGATCTGGTCAGAGTGAATCTCAAGTAAAAGATTCATTAATTCAAATGACACAAAGGTTTACTGAATCAGATGATCCTATCAGAGTTATTTTTAGTTAAAGGTTTACTGGTTCAAATGATTCAGTCAAAGCGATTCTCTAGTTGAAGATTTACTGATTCAAATGATCTGGTCAGAATGATTATCCAGTTAAAGGTCTATTGATTCAAATGATCTGCTCAGAGTAAATCTCTAGTTAAAGATTCAATAATTCAAATAACACAAAGGTTTACTGAATCAAATAATCCTATCAGAGCGATTCTTCGGTTAAAGGTCTACTGATTCAAATGATTTAGTCAGAGCGATTCTCCAGTTGAAGATTTACTGATTCAAATGATTCAGTCAAGGCTGAATCATATTGTCTATTTAAAGAGTTACTTATTCAAATGATCTTGTCAGAACAATTTTCCTGTAAAGATGTACTGATTCAAATTATCTGGTCAGAGTGAATCTTTTGTTACAGATTCACTAATTCAAATGACACAAAGGTTTACTGAATCAGATGATCCTATAAGAGCGATTCTTCACTTAAAGGGTTTACTAATTCAAATGATCTTGTCAGAACGATTCTCCTGTCAAAGATGTACTGATACAAATGATCAGGTCAGAGTGAATCTCTAGTTAAAAATTCACTAATTCAAATGACACACTGAATCAGATGATCCTATCAAACTGATTCTGCAGTTAAAGGTCTACTGATTTAAATGATTCAGTCAGAGCGATTCTCCAGTTAAAGATGTACTGATTCAAATGATCTGATCAGAACGATTCTCTAAAAATTTGCTAATTCTAATGACACAAAGGTTTTCTGAATTTGATGATCTTATTAGAGTGAATCTAAGGGAGTCTCTGGTTAAAGATTCACTGATTCATGTGATCCAGTCAGATCATCTTCAACAACTGACTAAATCAAATGCAAATGACAGACCAAGTTAAAGATTTACTGAATCATATGATTTGGTCTAAGCGATTCTTTAGATAAAAATCTACTGATTCAAATGATCCGGTCAGAAGAAATCTCTAATTAAACTGATTCAAATGATCTGGTCTGAGCGATTCTCTAGTAAAGATCTACTGAGTCAAATGATTCGGTCAGAGGAAATGTCCAGTTAAAGATCTACTGATTAAAATGATTCAGTTAAAAACTGACTCATTCAAACATAAGACATCCAATTACTGAGTGAGTCTTCTAACAATTCACTGATTCATATCGGAGTCTCTAAATGATCTAGTCAAACGATCCATTCACTCATTGAATCGATTCATTGATTCAAAGGATCCAGTCAAAGCAAGTCTTCAGTTGTGAGCAGAAAGGAACATTTGCTAATATATTGATAATGTCGGAGGAATAGTGGGAAACTTTTTTTTATCATTATTTGATCGTTTAAAGCATGTGTGAGACTCTGAGAGTGTTCTGAAGCAACAAAATACTTCAGAATTGAAGGTAAGCGTAGGCTAAAAAGCTCATGCTATGGTTTCTGAGAGAGTTTGGCACAGGTTTATCCAAGCACAACAGTGCACTTCCAGATGTAGTCCGTGCCCCATCCGTAACCCGTGTTTTTCCTGGTCTTTGCGGTCCGGCACACCCATGTGCTGCGCTTCAGAAAAACCCTTCATCTGATTGAGCCGGAGAGCTTTAGTCAACAGCCGTTTCTCAACTCGAGCTGTTAAAACTCTCGCTGAGATCATGTGTGAATTTAAGAGATGAAAACTCTGAGCGCTGTGAAGGATCCGCATGTGCTCTCGTCTGAGAGCTGGTGTGCTGACAGTGTCTGTTTCTTGCAGGAATCTGGCTATAGGCATCGGCATTCAGAACTTTCCAGAAGGCCTCGCTGTGAGTCTCCCATTGCGGGGATCTGGAGTGTCCACATGGAGATCCTTCTGGTGAGAGCAGAAAAGCGCGCATTCACATTGACCTGGACAACATTTGAGAGTGTCATAGGTTTGGCACACACAGTATAAAAGCCTAATAGTGAAGACCGAAATGACACATGCCATCAAAAAAAAAAAGGAAAAGGCACTTATGCTTTGAAAAGACCAAAAAATATATAGAA